GTCCTTCGGTCCCCAGACTGTCTCTAGTCCTAAAGTCTTTTTCTTCTTCCCCTAAGCCCCACATGCAAACTCAGGCCTGGTTCAGCGTGGTGCAGGAGGCTGGGGGTTCTTCTGGCTCTGTTTGATCTACTTGAATCAAAATTCATAAACACACATAGGCATCCACATAAAACTGTGGTTGCGAACACAGCTCAGAGTATGGAAGGGATCATGATGAGGACCAGGGCTCTAGCGAAGCTAGTCTATCTTTCCCAGATGCTATGCTTCAGTCTCTCAAATAGAGACAGGTGAAGGAGAGAGAGAGAGAGAGAGAGAGAGAGAGAGAGAGAGAGAGAGAGAGAGAGAAGGAGAGAGAAGGAGAGAGAGAGAGAGAGAGAGAGAGAGAGAGAGAAGGAGAGAGAAGGAGAGAAATGAAGGGGGGGGTAAGGGGGATGGGGGAGCTCACTATGAGAGGCACCAAGGAAAACAGTGGTACAGGGGTTGCTTCCTGGTCCTTATTACTCTATAACCAACAATTTGAGGTGAGACAGTTCATTGAAATGTTTTATTTTTAAAGTGGCCACTAGCAGTTGGTCAAATCCTCATAAGGTGTTGAGTAGAGACCTTCATCGTATCCCAACCTGAGTCCATCATTTCCAGGGCACTTGTTACAGCTCAGCCTAGTCTCATGTATTCTATCAGCTCTTGGGAATATGATTCACATACGCACTCAGTTCACCCACGAAAATGGCTCTACTGTTACGCGCAGGATAGTGTGACCGATACTGCAATCAAATTGCAAAGATTTCATCCCAAAATGGAACCATGTGCCCTTTAGCAGTTCCCCAGACGCCTTCCTATATGAAGCGGTCATTCAGTATTCTGTCTCTATGTGAAGTGGTCTACTCTGGATGCTTCATAGCTGTGGAATTATATAACATGTGGTCCTTAGTACCCGGTTTCTTCATCATAGCTTTCTTTAATGGTTTATCCTACCATATCCATATCATATCTCACACCATATGTCAGTATGTCATTTATTCTGAGGACTGAGTTATGTTCCATTATGGGGAGCACTGTGTTTTAGGCCTGTTTCTGGATATTTAGGTTGTTTCCATTTGACTATGATGAATAATGGTGCATTGACGTAGAATGTGTGGATACATATTTTCACTTCTCTTGTTATGTATACATTGCTGTGCATAGGTCAGACGTGAACCCTACACTATGGTTTGAGGAACTGACAGAGTCAATCTTATTTAAAGGTCCAATCCTAAATCCTTCCAAAAAACAGCTTCTAGCTTTCCTGCCTCGGAGCAGAAGAGCGACGGCCATCGTTCCATCCATTGTTAGTGGCCTTGGAGCCCAATCTCCCTGTGCCTGGGGGTTCCTCCATTCTGCACTGTTGCAGTAGGTATTGGGGCAGTTCCTGTGGTTCAGGCCTGGGAACAAAGGTGTTTCCATTCCTTCATCCCCATGAACGGCCCGTATCCCTTTACAAGCATGGACAGGGTCGGGGAACTCCCTGCTTGGAAAGCTTCAGGCAGCAAGTCTTTTCAGCTCTCTGTCAAACCTCAGGATACTGCATCTGGCATTCTCCCCTCTGTCCAGGAATGAGTGGAAATAGGACGGCACAAGTCCTTTCTAGGCTCCTAGAAACTTCTATTTCATGAGTCCCCTCATTTTCAGTGAACCATTTTTCGTGGTTGAAGGCCAGGAGACAAGTTTCATCTTTTCTCCCTTACTTCCTGCTTGACCTCTGTCCCCTGCTCCTGAGACACCCTCTGGAGGAAGCAGATTTGACCTACATTCGACAGGAGTTTTGTGACTTGCCTTTTAGCCAGGAGCCATCACCTTATTCTCTGCTCACCATGCAGGTGTGGTAAAGTTGGGGAAGGAAAACCCTTCACTACTGCCCGGCACCAACCCGGCACAACCAATACCTTAACTCTCAGAGCCCTTGTCAGGGGATGAGCCAAACCTAGATTCTGGCTCTGAAGCAAACCAGCTGCTTTGGACAGAACTTCAATCTATGCTTATATCTCCCTCCCCTCAAGATCAGGCCTTCCTCAGTAGAGGTCTGGTGGACTCCCAAGCCAGTGTGCAACCAGAAAGCGACTGGCCTCCAGTTCCTGGGCTGTAATTCAAGAGGCCAGTTTTTAAGTAGATTCCCAGGCATGAACCTCCATCTTCTCCAAGTCCCCAGCTGCTTATGACTGTCTCACCCACAAGTCCCCATTGTCTACAGGAGGCTAGACTTGCTCCCTTCTGTTGTGTTCCAGATACGGTTATGGACTTTGGGAACGTTGGGAAGACAATTCTAGCGTAGGTGCTGGCTCCGCACAGGTCTGGTGGCTCCCCTAGCTCTTGCCCTTTGATTGCTTCCCCAAAGCCATTTTCTCAGCACTCTCATGCTGTGTGTTTTCTCCCTTAGGCCAATCAGGGTGGGCAGGGTGGAATAAATTAATTAGGACCTGCAGGAACTGCGGCAGTGCAAACTGAGCCCCTGCGGTGTGACAGACACCATTCTGGGTGGCTGATGTAAACATTTCACACGGTGTCGTGTTTGTTAGGTGGCTTCAGGTTCCATACATTGAACGGCATCTTCACAGCAGTGCATTAGGGAAGGACAGAAACGGTTGTGACGCAGCCTCTCTGCTCTGTACAGAGTGTAAAACTGTGCTAAGTTTTGTACACTGCTGCGACCATTAACATTCAGATTATCATGGCATGTTTTCCGACCTAACTTGTCATTTTTCCATTACCAAATATCCATACAATGTTGGAGAGGTCTAGTCCCAATCTGTCTCTCTGTCTCTGTCTGTGTTCCTCTCTGTCTGTCATCCGTCTGTCTGTCTTTTCTCTCTCTGCCTGCCTAAGACCTTTGTGAATGGAGCACAGCGCTTACAGGTGTTTCTAATTTAAGGGCTTCCACAGTTGTGTCTTCTTTATTAAATAATTGAAAACACAGGAGCTGTTTGCTAAGTTCTTTAAGTGCCTTCCTGTTTTTGTTCAGCAATCTAACAGTACTCTCCATTATTCTTTTGTGTAAAAAGTTCTTTCTGTCTGTTTAAAAGAGTAATGCGTGTTCGTAGCAGGCAGAGAATCCAATAGAACAGGATGAAGGAGCAACTGTAAACAGCAAACTGCAAAGCTGCCTCTATGTGCCATCCCTCCACCCCCCTGTGCTCTGTGAGGGCTTCAGTGTCTGCCCCCCTGACATTTTTCTAGACATAGAGATTGACGAAGCAGGCCAGTGTGCTAAGATGGCACCTTGAGTGGCTTTGGCTCTGCTGTCAAGAGACCTGGGCTCTCCCTGTTTCAGACTTATCCAGAAAAGTCTGAGAAGTGTGTGGGCAGCTAGAGGAAACTCAGAAGGAGGCTTCACCCGGGGGTGGGGGGATGGGCGGGGGATTCCATAGATGCTAAACTCCCAGTCACTCTGAGAGTGCATCTTAGAGTCTGGATTGGGAGGCAGTGCTTAGAGGAAGGACTGAGGACTGCTTCCCAGACAGGCTTCCCCTTGTTATGTTTCCCCATTTCTGTAGTTGAGGGAACAGCTCTGTTTTGTAATCATTCCCTCTTACTCAAGGGAGAGAGTAGAATAAATGTTTTATTTAGTATTTAAAAAGCTTGCAGACAAGTATGAAAGAAGAGCTCCCCTTTTCAGAAGGAAAACCAGAGGTCAGAGAGGCAGGGAGGCTGGAGCAGAGTGCAAGAAAACCCATGACCTGGCTGAGCCTGCAGACCTAAATCACTGACAGCCATCCCTCGCCCAGGTGCAAAGAGAAAATCACTGCCCCCACCTTTGACTTACTCCACCTTTGCTTCTTATCACTTTCTTTGAATCTTGCTCTTCCCAACATTATAGAATAATGGGGCATGAGTTCAAATCCATCCATGCACCTAAGAAACCATTGCTATATCTTGGCCATTCCCTCTTGTGTGAAACTGGTTTAATAGTTTCTAGGGTGGAAGTGACTTTGTGAATGGGATAAGATACTGTGGTGAGTTAGTGCCCCGGTCATACCCACCTAGATGCTGTGTGAGTTAGTGCCCCCAGTCATACCCACCTAGATGTAGTGCTGAGTTAGTGCCCCTGGTCATACCCACCTAGATGTTGTGCTGAGTTAGTGCCCCTGGTCATACCCACCTAGATGTTGTGTTGAGTTAGTTTCCCTGGTCATGCCCACCTAGATGCTGTAATGAGTTAGTGCCCCCCACATCACTTCCGGGTCATATCTTAGGTCTAGAACTTCAGAATTTACTTGGAATTTGGGAATTTATAGATAAAATTATAATGGATAAAGGTGGACACTAATGCAATAGTCGATGCCTTTGTAAAAACAGGAAACACACGGAGACACAGAAGGGACAAAGGCTATATGAAGACAGGCTGATGCTATACATGGCAGGGGATCCTCAGGGTAGCCAAGGGGCTACTTGGTGGGCAGTGCTCTCATTTTATTTATTTCTCTCTCTCCCCCACCTCCGTGTATGTATGTGTGTATATGAACATGTGTGCATGTTGGCACACGTTTGTGTGGATGCACATGTACTTGTGCTATGAATGTGGAAGCCCGAGGTTGATGTTGGTGATGGCTCTTTTACCTTATTCAATGAGGCAGGATCTCTCATTCAGACCTGGAGCTTGTGACACGGCTAGGCTAGTCTTGAAGCTATTTCCCCAGCTTACTGTAGGGAATCCTCTGCTGTCTGAGGACCAAGGTCACAGCTATATGGCAGTAGCTCCAGGGGGACTGACAGGGATGTGACTTGAGAGCCCTGCAGACAAAGCAATGGTGCAGAAAGCAAAACCTAAACTTGCTTGTAGGCAGTATCCTTTAGTTCCTCAGAAATTACTCTGGTTGAATGGCAACCCGCCCTGCCCTCCTTTTTTTTTTTTTTTTCCTGTTTAACAGGGAAACAGAACTTCAAGGATTACAATGACACAGTTTCTTCCCTTGCTAAAAATATCTGAATCTCAAATGTGGGCATGCTTTTACTGCACCTTCCTGTCTTACAGCTAGAGAGAATCCACTTGCTATTCCCATTGCAGACAGTTTTGGTTGCTGGTGTCACTGACTTCAAGTGAATCCGAGGCAAAGAGCTGCTGTATGATGCTGTTTCTAGCATCCCTGCTTGGGGAGCTGTGCTGAGGCCTGCTGGGAGGACCCAGGGAAGTGCATTGAGAACATCTCCTGCTATCTTTGTTTGTGTAGGTGAGTCTACCATGGTGGTGGGGATAGTGAGTACAATTTTTTTTTTTTTAAATCGTGTTCTATCTGAGAAATTGTGCTTATGGGGAAATTTCTTCCCCAAGCTCAGGGTTCTCCCACTCCTTCCGTGTTTGCTGTTCTTCTTGAACCTCTTTATGTGGTAAAGAACTTTCTGCATTTAAAAAAAAATGGTTTCCACTGTAGGGGAAACCATTCTTATTTTGGGTTTAGATTTTTTTGTTAATGTTGTGCAGGGGTTGAGGGGTGTCATGGCCTGTGTGTTGAGGTCAGAGGATGCCTGTGATGTCAGTTCTGTCTTCCTACCTTTTCATCACAGGAAGGGAGCTCAGGAGGCAAGTGCCTTTACCACCAAGCCCTCCCATCAGCCTGAGAAACCGCTCTCAAGATTGTCTCCCTCACAGTATTTGAATTGTTAGCAGTTTAAACATTTTCAAAATCTGTTTTTCTACAACTGACGTCTGTGGTGATTATCCCTTTGGACAGCAGTCAATATTCCCAGCTGGTCTGTGTTTACAAAGCAGGGCTCTAAGAGTACACTGTTAGGGAGAGGAACTTTTTTTTTTAAAAAAAAAAAATAATTATATTCCACGAATCTAAACACTCTTTCTTTAATTTTTAAATGTGAAATTAGAATATAATTGTATCACTCTCCCTTCTTTTCCTTTCTCAAAATCTTTTATATATCTTTCCTTGTTTTCTTTCAAATCCAAGGCCTCTTTTTTCATTACTTATTGTTACATGCATATATGCACGTGTGTGTGTGTGTGTGTTCCTAAATACAGCCTGCTCAGTCTGTGTAACGTGATTCATGTGTATGTTTTCAGAGCTGACATTGGTATTGGGTAGCTTGATGTGCCTTTGCCTGAGGAAGGCTATTTCTCAGCATTCCTTCATCACTTCTAGTTCATTGTGGAGGGTTGAGGCCTCGTGGGTTTTCTCCTTTCTCTTTGTCATGTCTATCATTGTTCTTATTCAGCTCCTGTTGAGGCAATCATGTTGCTGAGCCCTTATGGGTATAGATTCTGACATTTCCAGAGGATACACTCTCACAGCAAACTCCCTGACCCTCTGACTCTTACCATCTTTCTGTCCCCTCTTCTGCAGTGCTCCCTGAGCCTTGGATGCAGATTGTTTTGTAGATGTATCCTTTGGAACTGGTCTCCACAACTCTGTATTAACTACTATTTAATTTAAAAAAAAATATGATTGCAGCCTACTAAGTGGCTTATTTTGTTCATATAAGATAATCAGAGGAGAGATAGAAAAATCAAAGCTGCAGTTAAGTGTTATTTATTGATATACCTAAGAGGACAGCTGTGGCAGTGAATTCATGCATAGTGAGAGAGTAGCGAAGCTGGAGAGAGATTCTCTGCTACTCAAGACTCCCAACCTTGAAATGATAGGTAAAAATTGCCAAAATGCTGAGTAAAAATATTCAGTGGGAGCAGTAATCAGCTGTATTGGGAGTCAAATATGAGCTGATAGGTGTGTTCTCCAAGTCGCCTTCCAAGCCAATATCCCATGAGCAATGGCCAGTGTTAGTATTCAGGCATCTGTACTGGGCTGCCCTTGGGGTCCTGACAGGATATGTCCTTAGCTACAGTCACTAAGAGTACCACTAACAAACAGCCTTGTGAACATTTGCTATGTTCCCTTTTTAAAAAATGGGCCTTTCCACCTGTATCTCTCTCTCTCTCTCTCTCTCTCTCTCTCTCTCTCTCTCTCTCTCTCTCTCTCCACCCACTCTCTTCCCCCNAAAAAAAAAAAAAAAACTCCTATGTGAGCCTTTTTGCATGACGTGACTTCTCTTTACACTATTTTTAAACAAATTGCAACAGACACCATGCTCTTGCAATGGAAAACTGGTCTGTTTACCTTCATTGCTTGAGCTCTTGACATCAACTTGCTCATCCTTATCTGATGCTTCTGGGTGTCTTCAGATTCCATCTGTGAACCCTTTCGTTGACTTGGAACGTCTTGAGGCTCTCTGAGTCCTGAGCTTCTTTCACAGTGCCTGGCTGTGTGGATATTCCTGTTAGTCAGCTTGGCTAGAGACGGAATTAGCTAAAACCCCAATATGGAGGGATTTCCGCTTAAATTTGAAGTGAAAAGATCTACTTCTAATCTGGATCCTTAAGGGAGGAAGACACACCTTTAATCCCGATCTAACCTGGGCCATATCTTGTGCTGAAAGCTTATATTGTAGTGGGAGGCCGCTTGCTCTTCCCAGCCGCCCAGCTAGTTTAGACCTGAAATAATCACACAGAAACTGTATTAATTAAATCACTGCTTGGCCCCATTAGCTCTAGCTTCTTATTGGCTAACCCTTACATCTGAATTCAACCCATTTCTATTCATCTGTGTATGACCATGAAGCAGTGGCATACCAGCTAAAGTTCTGTCTGATATCCATTTATGAGTGAGTGCATACTATATTTTTCCTTTTGGGTCTGGGTTACCTCATTCAGTATGTTTTTTTTTTCTCTAGTTCTGTTCATTTGCTTGCAAATTTCAAGATGTCATTTTTTTTAACCGCTAAGTAGTACTCCATTGCATAAATGTGCATAAATGTACCATATTTTCCTTACCCATTGTTCAGTTGAGGGGCATTTAGGTTGTTTCCAGGTTCTGGTTATTACAAATAATGCTGCTATGAACATAGTTAAGCAAATTTTCTTGTGATATGATCGAACACCCTTTGGGTATATGCCCAAAAGTGGTATTTCTGGGTCTTGAGGTAGATTGATTCCTAATTTTCTGAGAAATTGCCATACTGATTTCCAAAGTGGCTGTACAAGTTTGCACTCCTACCAGCAATGGAGGAGTGTTTCCTTTACCCCACATCTTCTCCAGCATAAGTTCACTAGTGTTTTTGATCTTGGTCATTTTTACAGGTGTAAGATGGAATCTTAGAGTTGTTTTGATTTGCATTTCTCTGATGTCTAAGGAAGTTGAACATTTCCTTAACTATCTTTCAGCCATTTTATATTTGTCTGTTGACAGTTCTCTGTTTAGATCTGTACCCTATTTTTAATTGGATATTTGGTATTTTGGTGTCCAGTTTCTTTAGTTCTTTGTATATTTTGGAGATCAGTTCTCTGTCAAATGTGAGGTTGATGAAGATCTTTTCCCATTCTGTAGGCTGCCATTTTGTCTTTTTTTTTTAACAACGCTAAAGTTACCCCAATACCCAGACCACACAAAGACAGAACTGAGAAAGAAAATTACAGAACAATCTACCTCATGAACACTGATGCAAAAATACTCAATAAAATACCAGCAAACCAAATCCAAGAACACATTAGAAAAAGCATCCACCATGACCAAGTAGGCTTCATCCCAGAGGTGCAGGGATGTTTCAACATACAAAAATCCATCATATAAACAAACTGAAAGAAAAACCCACATGATCATCTCATTAGATGCTAAAAAAGCCTTTGACAAAATTCAACCCCCCTTCATGGTAAAGGTCTTAGAGAGATTAGGGATACAAGGAACATACTGAAGCATAATAAAGGCAATATACAGCAAGTCAACAGCCAATAACAAACTAAATGTGATCCCACTGAGGCCAGGAACAAGACAAGGCTGTCCAATCTCTCCATATCTATTCATTATAGAACTTGAAGTTCTAGCTAGAGCAACAAAAGGAGATTAAGGGGATACGGATTGGAAAAGAAGAAGCCAAACTTTCACTATTTGCTGGTGTGGGACAATGGTCTATATTCTGTCAATTATATTTTAAATGAATGCTGATTGGCCAGTAGCCAGGCAGGAAGTATAGGTGGGACAACCAGACAGGAAGTAGAGGTGGGTCAATGAGAACAGGGGAATTCTGGGAAGAAGGAAGCCAGTTTCTCTGCAGTCCTGATCTAGCTACCAAAAACAGAATGGCATGCCAATGTGGGGCTGACCAAATCTACTTAAAAGCCTGAGAGAGCCTGGGAAGTTATTCTAGACAGAAAAGAATAGAGTTAAGCACAGCTTATTGATGGCAGCATTTTCTCAGGTGGGTTCTGCTTGCTAGAAGCAAGCACTGTCATTTAAGAAAGGCTTCCTGACTCAGCTTATCTGCAAAATATTGCAGCTTTTTAAAAGAGGTCCTGCCACAAAACACTTAAATGGTGTTCATGAAAAGTTGACCACATGCTTTTTGGTTTTCGGCCATAGGAGGAAAAAAGCCACACTGTTTTAAAATGCTGGCTTTCTGGGCTGTCCTGCCAGTGCAAACTCTGACTCTTTCAGCCAGGAGGTCCAGCTACAGAGCATTTGAGTGTGGCTTGTGAGCACACTGCTGCAGCTTGCTTGCTGGCAGGGACCTTGAAACATCAGAGTTGTGGCAATAAACATGGCTACAGCCAGTACCTTCGCCATGAGGCTGGAATCTCAGAAAGCTAAGGAATGGGCTGGATTCAGCCACAAAAGCCATGACTTTACTCCTACCCATATTGCTTAGCAAATTCAAGACTTATGTGGTCAGAAAAAGAGAGATATACAGCAAAGGTAGATTCAAAGGTTGAAAAAAAAACTCTAAATGGTTTACTGTATTTAAAAATATATGTAGTTTTGGGAGAAAAAAAGAGAGTAGTTGGATATGGTGGCACACACCTTTAATCCCAACACTTTGGAGGCAGAGGCAGACAGACCTCTGTGAGCAGGACAGAAATTCCAACAACAATTTGCTGATGATATAATAGTATACATAAGTGACCCTAAAAATTCTACCAGAGAACTCCTAAAACTGATAAACACTTTCAGTAACATAGCAGGATGCAAGATTAAAAATAATCAGTATCTCTTCTGTATACAGATGATAAACAGGCTGAGAAAGAAATCAGAGAAGCACCACCCTCTACAATAGCCACAAATAGCATGAAATATCTTGTGGTAACTCTAACCAAAGAAGAAAGCCTTTGATCTTTGCCTGCTTGTTCTCCCCTCTCCTGCAAGTCCATTCCTTCACTTTCATTAGAGCTGACTTC